GTGAGTTTGGTGTTGGCAGTCTTTGAGAGACACGGAATCCGGACCTGCTGGCAAAGCTGGTTTGAGACGGTATTTACGATACAAAACGCGGGTTGGTAATTCAGGGGGGGGGGGTTAGCATGTATATATATATATATATGTACATGTGTATATATTTATATTTCGATGTGTATATGTCTGTATGTCTGTATGTATGTATGCATGTATGTACGTATGTATGTAGTATGTATGTACGTATTTATGTGTGAGATTGTATGTGTATTTTCTATGCCGTTTTATCTCTTGCTCTCTCTTTCTTCACGGCCTTTTTTCGTTCTCACTTCCGAATCCGGCTGGGCCGAGGCTGCTCTGGCAGAGACATGGCTGCAATCGCAGCGTGAGCTTGTCCCGTTCCCGGCGAGATGCAACAGCCAGGGAAGTCCCAACGAAAAGCAATGCAGGTGTTGTAGAGGTTTGCATAATCCAGAGCTAGATCAACGAAGCTCGAGCAAAACACGCGTGACTGAGGGCATCTTTCCGATTACCGTCTTCCAGGGCCCGCCGGTGCCGGGTGCTCATAGAACAGTTCGGCATGGCTGAACAGGAGGGACTGGAATTCTGGCACTGGTCAGTTCTTGGTTGAAGCAGCTCTGGGACACGGGCATGCTGAAAACCCAAGCATGCCGCACCCAGGGGCGGTGGTTGCAACTCAGCGCTGCAATGCCCGCGCCCTAACCCGGCCGAACTGTTTCACTTGGACCTACAAACCCATGCGTATTCGTCTCCTGGCTTCACATTGGTGCCTAAGGTGGACTTGGGAGTGTGAGATGTTACAGCCGATTCAACGAACAAGCTGGGCACCCGTTTCGCCCAAGAACACCCGGGGTCATGGTGGTGGCATGTCAGATGGGTACAGCGAGGTTTGCGCAAAGCGCTGCGATGGCATCGAGGTGCGACCGGGCGGACACTCAGTACAGCATTCTGGATTGTTCGGATGTGAGGAGTGCCTGAATGCCACAGATGAGCTGGGCTGCCGATTTTGTGGTTCTGTGGCCGAGAAGCTACTGCAGTGTGCGCAGATTGCTCGAGATTTGCCTCTGACGACTTTCCGAGGCTGGGAGTTCTACACAGTCCCAGTGCACCATGCCGTCACCTGAGCGGAGAATGGGGCGAGCTTGGGAGAGCTGAGGGGAATTCAGAGTGAGACTCGACAGGCCAGTGGGAAGGTGCACGGACCACCAGACGTCGGTGCTGCCAGCCGATTACTATGCGCGACTGCGATGGCCAAAGGCATCAGTGAGTGAAAATCGCCTGCGGCCAGGCCTCCGCGTGCCAGGAATGCAGCAACATAACGTAGTACGCCCAGAGACATCCAGGGACATCAGGAAAATCGCATGCCACAATCAGCTTGCCGAAAACATCAGGCAACTCAGCACCGAGGAAGCCAAGCTTTGTTCGGTTCTGAACATCCCGGCAGGTGAATGGTTTGCTTGCTCGTTTCTCTCTCTCTCTCTCTCTCTCTCTCTCTTTCTCTCTCTCGAGCTCTACTCTCCTTCTCTTGCCTCTGAACGGGCAGGGGCCACCGCAGAAGGAGCCAAGCAATGCAACGTGGCTCCGGCAAAGTTGGGCCTCACGAGCAAGCTCCAGGGATGTTGAAGTTGACAGGCTTCCTTCTGCGATGTGCAAGTGCCTCGGAGTGCTCTTTGAAACACGACTCCTCCAGCGTTTCAGTGCTTCCTGCCGCAGCATACTCACAACTTGCCCTGTACTTTCACACCGTCCCACTCGCGCTAGATAATTGCATGTGATGCAAGATGACACTCTGCACCCTGAAGTGCATTCGAACATGCCAAGGCTGCAGCCAGGCGGCGAATGCGATCCTGGCTCTTTGAGTTACGACCCGTGCCGGTGCCTGGAGGAACCTGAGAACAATCAGACCCGAACTGGGCTGCGAAAAGCTGAAAGCTGTCAGGCCCGACAGCTCCCGGAGCAGCGCGCAGTCCGACCTGCCTGCTTTTGATGCGTGTCCATCACAGAGCCAGATATGGCCAGGGAAGGTGTGAGTTTCGGGGTTTTCGTGGTCAGTTTCGGTGCTGAGTTTCAGGGTGGAGTTTCGGGACAAAGGCCAGGTTAGTTTCGGACAGGACGTGGTCTGTTTCAAACCCAGACCCTGCCTGACACTTGGTCGTTGTGCTGCTTCATGCTGCCATCGTGTCCGAGCTTTCTGCGAGGTTCAGAAGTCAGTCTGCAGGAACGGCCACAAGTTTGCCGGCACACAACGTTTAATAATGACCAACACCTGACTTTAAAGAGCCCCATGTTCACCCACCCAACATACATCATTCAGGTGCCTGAACAAGTCATTGGTATCCCCTTATGACTTGGGGTTGAGGGTTCAGGATTCAGGGTTACAGGTTGGGATACAAGGGTTTAGGATTGAAGGTGTGATTACTTCAACAAGCTTTGGGGGAGGTTTGTATCCTAGCAGAATACAACTAGTAGCACGAGTAGCACTCGTGGTGCTATAGTAGTACTAGTGAGGTAGCGCTAGTAGCAATTACTAGTAGTACTAGTAGTACTGGTGCTACTGGTAGTACGAGAAGCACTAGTAGTACCAGTAGTCGTACTAATGGTATTACTTTAGTGGTGCTGGTAGTAGTCAGCTTGCAACATCCAGAACCCCGTGCGCCCCGAAACTGACCACCCCGCACCTCGAAACCGATCCCTGCCGTCTCGAAACTGGGTCCCGAAACTCACCCCGTGATCCGAAGCTCCTCGGCAGCCGATCCGAAACTAGAACCCCGAAACCATAGGTACCCAGCCTCATGACAAAGTTCAATGCTAGTTTGAGTATGTTTGAGTCGTAGGCTCTGTCTCTGTTGTTGCCAGTACGCAGCAGAGCAGCCAGGCATTCGGGTGCCTGCTGCGTGGAAACCTCTCCGCTGCGGTTCGCAGCATCCTCGTCCTCTCTGCTTTGTGCGGACAGGGATTCCCATAGAGTCGATAGAGGGCACGAGAACCTTGCGTGCTCCCGCGGATCCTTATTCCCGGGCCGCGACGGTCTTTTGTTTGTCCAAACTTAGAGTCTTGGAGGACTCTCTGACACCTTCAAGTGGGTATTAACCTCTCTTCGTTTCAATGGTTCTGCATTGTAGTACCGCCTGCCAGAGTGCTGCGAGGTTCCACCGCGGGCTTGCTGTCTCTGTTCCATTTCGACGCCATCCGGGCAGCGTGGCGACTCGTTAGGCACTAGAACAGAGGGCGGTAGTCCCGTCCTGCAGCCCAGGCAAAGCTGGTTGAGGATTGGTTCGGGAGCCACATCCTTGAATGCGGCAGCCCGAGAGGTTTTCTGGAAGGCCAGATCCTGGTGCACTCTGCGCTGGAGGCCACAACTCTGAGGGCAGCAGTGGCGGGTGCGCCGTGACGAGTACCTGGGCAAGAGTCGGGGAGTCTGTCAGCGCCGCTGGCGTCTCTCCCGAAGTAAATTGGTGTTTTGCCTTCACTGTGGATCCGAGCACAAGCCAAAACCTTAACAAAAATCGGAGGGGGTGCCTCGAAGAAGCGGATTGCCTGAGAAGCCCTGGTGCGGAAGAAGTCGCACCAAGAGGGCCGAGGCCACCCTAACTTCAGGCAAGTCAGGGCATTCCAGAAACAACTCGGATCCTTGCTCGGCGGTGGCTTCTAGATGTGAAGAGAACTCAAGGGAGGTAACCTCAGTCGCTTGAAGTGAAGCTCGAAACTTGGCTTTCCAATACCACCCTCTGCGCCCGAAGAAAAGGCTCAGAAGGGGAGAAGAGCCCTTGTAGCCGAAGAGATCTCAGGTGTGGACCGCGTCGAGGGCCTGGCGCTCCTCCTGGCAGGCTTTCTGGGCTTCCATATCTTCAATGATCCTTAGTAATAGTCTATAGTACATGATCTCAATTTCAAGGCATGAAGTGTTCGAATCTAGGTATAGCATGGAAGCCCCATCCCAACCCCATGCCGGATGTCACTTGGCGCGGGTCTCTGCACAGCAGTAGGGTTTCTGCTGCTCTTGCTCTTGGACGAAGGGTTGCCTCTGCCATCGAAGCCCAAACCACGTGATCAGGAACCGATTGGCTTCAAAGTGCAGCCGAGGCTCGGTGTAGTCTCAGAAGGAAGCCTTGCCTGAGCGAACTGCCCACCATTGCACCGGACCCTACAGAAAGCCCGCATGGCCTGCCGATTCGCCTTGAAAGTAGGACCTCACAGCTTCTTTCCCCTCAGGATCCCTGCCTTCGCTGTCTTTCCCTAAACTCCCTAAACCGCCAGAGAGATCCTTAGCTGCGAGGTGCCCGCGCCGTCCGCACACGCGATTCACATGTGGGCCGCTGGCTAGGGAGGAAAATGTTTTCCTTACCCGGATGCGAGGATGCAAGATCATGTGACTCGAGAGTCTTGAGACTCCAAGACATACTGGCATGCATCAGACAGTTGGGTGCAGTGTGCGGTGCTTGCCGTGAGTGCGCAATCATCTCCGGACATGTTCAGTCTCTAGGTGATGAGTACCTGCACTTCCTGCACCATTGCGGGCTTACTTGGAGGCGAGCAATTGTGAGCATCATTTCGCACGTCTACCAAGAAGCTTGTGACTCTCTCATCTGCTGCGTCACCAGGCGGCACTCTCTACGTGGACGGGAGTGGATACCTAGCCAGCGATCCAAGCACAATCCTGCAATAGATACGCACAGCAGCTTGCATGTTTTCCGAGATCCTGAGCACGAATGCTCGCCGTGATTGATATCCAGGAGATTCATTTTGTGCATGCCTGCAAGGCTGCGAAGTCGCCGTCTGGCACAGCTTGGCAGCCGGGCCTTCAGCTCTTCGCAAGGATTTCTTGAAGGTGATTCGGTCTTTGTCTGAGGCCGGCAGCTGGTCCGCTCCTGAACGACGGCAACTTCCACTTCGTCGCTTTCTCGTCGATGCCCCGTCTCGGGGGAGATTCGCTCCGAACTCTCCTGTCAGTGTGCGCCGGTATTTCCGGTACCCTTCACAGTCTTTGAGATTTGATAAGTTTAGGGCTAGGGTTCAGGGCTTGAGGTTTACGACGTTCCAGGGTCAGCTTTTGCCCGAAGAGACTTCGCTGGCCTAAGCCAGGCAGAGTCCAAGAGACGCCTGGATCAAAAGACGCGTTTCTACTATTATTGAGGGCCCTGGAACAACAGTTCAGTGGTTTGTCGTTCCTCGAGTAGGGTTGGGTTTTGGGTTTTGGTGTCTGCTGAAGACTCACCAAAAGTTTGGAGGCTGTGGTATACGGTAGGCTCTATATTTAGTCCTGCTCCAGATAAGGCTGGGCGCCTCGCATGGGGAAGTTCTCCTTGCTGACGGCCGGGGTCCAGCAGTTTGGGGTTAGGTTTTGTGCTCGGAGTGTCAGGTTTCGTTGAGGGCTTAGGGACTCAAGCGACAGAGTGGCGGGAGGACATGGCTCCGATCACTCGATATTGATAATGGACTGTACAAGCACATGTCTCTGAGCACAGACCAGCATTGGTGTCATGTCTCCTGTTCCTGCTGTGCCGGATCTGTTGCAGCAGCAGGAAATTGTTTGAACATGCGCGATCTAAATCTGCTTGCGTGTCTTTCTGTTCCGACCCACAAACACAGACGCTAACACACACATGGCTTGTGTTAATAATGTCACAGTGTGTTGCGGGTTTTGGATGCTAACTGTAGGTTTCGTTTCAGGTGGCGCCGCATAGCACTATGATAGTTACTGTCATCATGCGCGTGGTTGATGCTTACTGGATGCTTGCATTTGCCAGGCACTGTGCTCGCACAGCGATCCTTCCAGGACAGGTTGAGGGCTCTGGGGCGGGTCCTGCGAGAGCACCCCTGGGTGCGGTTTGTCTTGTGGGTTGAGGTTCAGTGATTTCTTGAAAAGTAGGGCTTCTTGTGTGGTCGGCAGGTCCTAGTGGTTTCTCTGTTGAGTTTTATCAGAAGCAGCGTGAGGATCTTCAACAGAGGCAGTCGGACAGTTAGCATTTTCTGCTGTGCCCTGTACTTTGACTCTTTCATAGAGGCTTCGGGTGATCTTCGATGTCCCCGTGTGCGCAGGATGCGCAAAGTGCTGGGTGGTCCTCACCGACACCTGTGAAGGCGATGGGAGGATCCAGTTTTCTGTGGGCGATGATGTTTTTACCGCACTTGCCAGATTCGACCTGTCATAACGGAAAACGCAATGACAATAGCATTGGACACCCTCTTACGGGAGTTGCTGCAACTGCAATTGTCACGAGACGTCGGAGTGGGACGCCACGATCACGGGGCGACAGGTCATGTTCGGCAAATCTCAGACGGAAGCTGCGCTTGGGACTCCTGCCGGCATTCATTGCTGAGCAGCTGCGATGCAATTGCGACACTCCTCGCTGATGCTGGCCTAAGGAACTACTCGGGTGAAATTGATGTTGCTCCAGTCTCAAACGGCGCTGTCTGTGGGTAGGGTTTCTGGGGCAGAAATCTGACATGTCCATGAGGCAGCAGTTTTCACAACGGAGCTGTCCTTGAAGGCATGGTGTGGCGGAAGTTAGTGGCACAGAGTACAAATTCTGGAAACAGGAGCTCAGGCACCACATGCTCGCAGGGTCATGGCGAGGCCCAGGCGCCTGCCCGTCCTCGCAACACCGGCCGTGGCAAGACCCTAAGCCCCCAAACCCCCACATCCCCTTAAACCCGAAAAGCGCGATTTTGCAGGTTTGACCTTTGCCGAGCGCTACTTGACAGCGGCTTGTCGGGCACTCGAAAAAGTGACGTTTGAAGCTGGCCGAGCTGATCCGGGCCTCGCTGTGCTAGCTGCGAGTCGCTAGTAATTTTCGAGCAGTCGTCGTCCCCGTCGTCGTGGCAGCGGTAGCCGTAGCCCTCACCTTAGCAGTTGCTGTAGCAGTAGGAGTAGCGGCAGTTGCAGTAGCAGTGGTGGCGAAGTAGGAGTAGGCGTAGGAGTAGGAGTAGAAGGAGGCGGAGTAGTAGCAGTCGTCGTAGTCGTAGCAGCAGTAGCTGGTGGCTTCAGGTGAGGATTCCCGGCTGGCCACTTCCATCTATCCGCCCTGCGGTCCCGAGGCCGACGATGCATGGTCAGTTTTTGTTTCTTGTGATCTACTAACATCTATTGAAAGAATGCTGCATAAATTCGGCGACAAAGCTGACTGGCAGGCAGAAGCAGTCCTCGCCAAGACGCGGCCTTGTGCTTGCGACTCAGAGCCCACGCAGCGCTGAGCGTGGGAACGTAGCTGCAATGCGAGATAAGCTTTGATAAACCCACCATCATCCAGCACGATTGCGCCAGCTCCTGCGAGCAGCCACCAGCATCTGCTAGCAAGCGCAAGTATGTCAACAAAGCCCCTGCAAATGCTCCAACGATCCTGCAAGGATGCGAGCAAGGAAGCAAGAACCCAAGAGACCACGTCATTCTCAACAAAAGAACTATTGCTCATGCGGTCAAGATAGGAAGCTATGGACGAGCCAAAGAATATACACACACACATGCAGAACCACCAACGGCAAGCACAGTGGCAGAAGCAGCAAGAAGAAGAAGAAGAAGCGGAAGAAGAACCGGGTTTCAACTGGTGTGACTCCTTCATGCTAGAGTCTGCTAGAGTGTGTGAGAGGCCAGGGAAGAGGGAAGGCAGACACCATGTATGGGTGTGCTGTTGAAGACTCCTCCGAACACAAAGGTCCAAGGTGACTTTTGCGGCTGCCACTCGATTCTTCGAGGCCCCAGACCAGCACACGGAACCCGAACCCTGAACCCGAGATAGTTGGTTGGCGAGGCGAGGCTGCTCTGCTTTGCGCAGTGGCGTGTCCGGGCACCGCGACACTGCGCAGAAGCCTGCAGTGTCCTCAGATCCTGCAGAGGGGGCAAAAAGCCGCGGAATTTTTGTGTGTCGAGCAGGAGCTTGAAGTGCATCGGGCGCCTAACCAAGGTTACAGATCTTGGAAGAGAGGTGCTCTGCTCGGGTCTCGGCTCCCAAGACAGACCTGAAGCCCCAGCCATAAGCCGTGATCCTTTACTGAGGATCACACGCAGCTTGGAAAGTCCTGCCAGTTCAACAGCGACTGTGATTTGCCGCTATCCCAAGTCCCTTGCAACCAGTGTATCAAGCCACTTTGCGCCTGTTGAAGCTTCTTTGTAGCATCCATGCTTTCCGGTGAGGTTGTGATTTGCCCAGCTCACGAGTACCTAGGCTGTTTCCTCCGATTGGCCAAGAGTCGAAGCTCGAATGTGACATCGCCAGGTGCTCAGAGAAGGCATCCTCGAGCGATCTCGAGCATTTTGCAAATGCATGCATGTCCGTGATGCGTCTGCCGGCCATGGCATCTTTCAGGAAACCTGGAAGTGCAAGTTGCAGTCCTCCATGGTGCCTCGGCAGAAGGTTTTGACTTCCGTAGCTTCTGGGGAGCTTCCACAATCCCGCGATCTCAGTTGCAGCCACAGCATGTTCTTCGGGGCTCCGTGTGCATCGCGAGGGCGAGGACTTGCCAAGGGCTGCATCATCAGTGCATGCAGTATTTGCGGCCGATCGTTGTCATCATGCATGCAAGCTTTTAGATCCGGTGCTTGACGCAGGTGGAGTCTCACCATTCACAGTAGCCTCCCAATTCCCAATGTCAATCTGAAAACACTCGCCTGAGGGCATGTAGTTCTGCGTCAATGTATGGGAGCACCCAAACACCGAAAGTTCCAAGACGTTAAGCATGGATGCTATCACAGGAAGCCGAACCAGCCCTGCGCATTCTCGGTCGTCGGTCACTGGTGAAAACTACTAGTCCCTTGCATGTCATGACTTTCTGCATGTGAATGATTGACTGTCCCTGCAGTACGATGCCGCCCTTGGGCCAATGGCAAGCACAGTACCTCCTCGCACATCTGTGGGTCTCCTACTGCCAGGGCCGTCGTAGACCCTTTCGGCATTCAGTCTTTCGGCATAGAGGGTTTGCAGAAAAGCGACATGCAGAACCCGACTTCAGGCGCTCTTGAGACTTGACCTGAAGACCAAATCGGGACGGACATTTGCCCGCTGCTCCAAGGGCAAAGACCAACTCGTCATTGTTCTTGTCCGTGGAGGTGCCAGGCGCTGAGGTAGCCGCTGCTAGCGAGAGGGGGGGAACCTTTGGCCGCTGGAAGCTTCTTGGACTTGCAGGCAGGAGGGCTGCAGCTTGCCGGATGCGAATGCCCAGCTCTCAGAGAGGGCTGTTGGGGAACTAGCACTGACCTCAGCCACAAACCCCTAGTACCTCGGAATCTCACTTGGCTAGTCCGAGAGAGGGCGCCGAAAGCTCTTTCGAGCTTCGACTTTACACTTTGGACAGAGATGCGACAGGCTTGCACAGCGTGTGACACTTTGCAACATAGAGTAATGGCAGCAGTGATCATCGTCGGTAGTGGTGCTGTGGTCCGCCAAATGACATGGAGTCTTCAGTTTGCATTTCCAGCATTTCGGCCTTTGGGTAGGACCGGCAGAGGTCAGCGTAAATCTTGCGATTCGCGGTTTCTTGTAGCGTGGCAGGTCACCGACAACCTCGTCAGTGCACACAACGGCGGAAGCTCATACTTGAAGCAGGACGAACGGACTGGATTCTTGATGAGACACGTGCTGCATGCTGTCCGCTCTTGAGGAGGTTAACTTCCAGACCACAGCAGCTTGGGCGGCATCGGAGCAGGGCTAACGAAGCTAGGTTCCATTTCTTTTCGTCAATGCCTTTTCAAGCCCTTGTTGTGCCTTAGTTGATGTTCCTTTTGCGTCGTGGAGTGCAGTCGAGGTCACCCGCACTAGCACCACAACATCCAGCACCACTACTTACGGCAACTTCACAAATACCTCCGACGAAGAGACCATTGACCCAGCCCCGCTGGCATCTGAGGGCTTGTTGCTTCCGGGTGCCAGGTTCAAGTTAATCCGTTTGAAGCTCGAGGTCACCACCGGAACAGAACACGACGACTACGACCACGCCAAGTTTTCCCGGCAAAATGCAGGCCAAACAGCGGTGCTGCAGAGACGGCCTTCAGTCTCGAAACTTCGAGCAGTAACGAGGGCTGTCCCAACTAGGAAGCATCTTCCAATTGCCATGGCCTTGAACCACTGCCACTGTAGTTGTCACTGTCGTGAGCAGGTGCGGACATCTCCGTTGCTTGCCATGGGCTCGAACCCGCATTCAGTTTCTTTTGCCATATAGCTAAATATCATCGTCATCATCATCATCATGATGTTTATCTTTACCTTCACCATCAGTGTTGTCGCTGTTGTTACGGTGGTTGCTGTATTTGGTCACTATGTCTTTTTCGCTGGTGTTGATGATGTGAGGGTGGCGGCGACGACGATGGCGATGGTGACAGCGTGAAGGATCGAAGCGATGGCGGTCGTGGTGGCCGTTGTGGCGGCGGTGCGGTTGGTGTGGGTAGTCCTGGGAGTGGTGATGACAACGGCCATGACTGTGAGTGCAAGCGGGCCTGCAATTGCCGTTACTGGTCTCAGCATTACTTTCACCTTTGCCATTGATTTCACTATAGCTAGCCTTCGTGGCGTCACTGAAATCAGGTGCTATCAAGTGCTGATAAGTTGCCATATGTTGCCATGGAATCTGCTGTAGCTAGCTGTCCCATGGACTTTGCAGGCCTTCATGGGCCTTCGTTAAGGTGCCAAGGCCTTCCCAGAGGCTTCCTGTCCCACAAAGACCCAACTCCCTGAAATCCTTAAACTCTTGAGCCCAAACCCACAGCTCCTCTTGCCGAGATCTTTGGAGCGGGTGGTGTGCAGACACTGACAATCATCGCCAAGTCCTAAGCCAAAGCTCGATGTTTTGGGGCTTCGGGTTTACCTGCTCGTGCTGTATTCGAGGACATGCTGGGAGCGGTAGAAATGGAACGGCATGGGTTGGTTGAGGTCGGGATGCCGTTGCTGTCAGTATTGTGTTTGATGCGATTCAGGCAAATGCAACGCCGGATGGTACTGGGATGGAGGACATGGACCACAGTTGAATTCGTACGCAGATGTGATTAAGAGTTTCAAGGTTCAGTTGGTGTCCCTAGCGTACTGGCCTGGCACTGTAGGAGCTGGAAACAGCTGGCGTCTCAGTGGATGCTCCAAGTGGAGACTTGGCGCGTCGCCCCTCGCTGTTCCAGGCAGCTGCAAGGCTGCAGGCCAGTCTTGGAGCCTACGTGTCTCAGGACTTTTCAGCGCATGGGCCGAAGATGCTTCGAAGCCGTGAATGCACGACCGTAAGTCGATAAGAACAGGAATCTCAAGTATCGGCCCACTGGCCGGAAAACATCTAGCCAAGACTTTGGTTCTAGCCCGGGCTCCATTCAGCGCGAGGAGACAATTCCAGATGTGACGTTCTCCGACATGACGACAGAGGTTCCCACGCGCGGTTCAGCTTATCGCAATTGTTTTGCGCTGTCGCGAGTGCTGTAAGCAGCCACGAGCGTGGCGTCCCACGAGTGTTTGGGCAAGCATTGCTGGCCTTGCTGTCAGCACAATCGTTGTCCCACTCTTCTCACTGTAAGTCGAGCATCATCGTCGTCGGCATCATCGTCAGCATCATCATGCTTGTCATCATCGTCATCTCCGCCGTCACTATCGCTGCCATCATCAACTTCATCATTATCATTATGATCAGAACAGTGTAGTTTGGAGCGGTGGCAAGGCTTCTACTCTTTTAGTTCTCACTATCAATTACAATTATAAATTCACAGTTCTTTTTGGATAAGACGTTTCATCGCTGCCTGACAGTATGTCTTCCAACCAAGCAGCATTGCATGCCACTGCTGTCGTGATCTGCGATGTAGGCATCAGTTGGGAATAGCTGCCCACACAAATCCTGTGGTCAAAACGCCAGGTACCTGACGTGGAAGTGATAGTGTTCAGCGAGAGGGAGGCCGGAATCTTTGTGAGCAAGTGTCGACGGAGTTATCACGACGTAATTGAAGCAGCACAGATCCGCGTTGCAGATACCTGGCATTGTTTCGTTCCCGCCAAGTCATGAAGAACCCGACACCTGCCAAAGTGTTCCCTTCCACGACAGCGTTTCACGTGCCAAGGTGAGCAGCTCCCTGATCTCCAATGTTAGCTATGCCATCATGGGCACAGCGCTGACCAGTGTGACGTACGAGGCACCTTGGTTGATGGTGCTTCTGGAGCACCGCCTGTGTACTTTGAAGGGGATGTTTGCCGCAACCTCATGCAGGAACCGGAACTCTGCAGCGATGCAGAGTTTGAGTGCGCGCCCGGCGTGGCTCAGTGAGCAGATATTCAGCATACACAAGGCATGTGGGATGCAATTCCCCTGAAACTCAGACGAGGTCTGTGTTCTGTGTCCTGCTGGATCATGCCAGTGTGATGGATGGCAGGACCCGCTCGGTTTTAGGCTTTAGGGCCGAGACCTCCGTGGGGGCGTGCTTTTCAATCTCCAGGGTGGCAGAATGAGAATTCTCCGTGTTGTAGAAGGACTGCGAGAATGGTGCGGATGAGGCCCCGGAGCAATGCGCAATGCCAGTGAGCGTGTGAATACGGAGGTAGAAAGTAGAAGGTCAGGTCAGCAGTAGCATGCCTTGCTTGCGCGGCTGTTTGATAAAGTCTGGCTCACCAGAGATGT